TTTTTTTTTCTACATCATTCTTTGACTTGACTACATTTATTTATGCAAATGGACAAAAAAGAAACATGAAACGGAAACGTAATAGATTAATTAGTAATTAAGCAGCAATGTAATTGAATAAAAAAAAAACCATGCACCAGGAAATTAAACGTATTGGTGTCTTATCTTCGAAGAAAATTTGAAAAATTCATTGTGATTAAATAAGAGAGATGTTCTTACTACTAAAGAAATTTATTATCAACCTACTACCTATTTAATCACCATTAGATAAAAGAGAGAATGTTAAAATATTTTTGAAGAGAGAAAAAATACTAATCTAATGATGTTTAGATAAATAATAAGTTGATAGTAAAAAAATTTAATAGTAAAAACATCTCTCCTCGTTAAATCACGGGGAAATGGTTAGAAAGTTGTATTAGAAGTAAAAAAATGTTTTAATGGTGAGTCAGTACAGTGTATTGAACCCGTAAAAATTGGTCTACGGCATTTACATTCATTTCACCTACGTTTAATGAAGGTTGACTAATCCTCCAGATCCGAGAAAATCCTTCGAATTCAAATTCATGAGTCTTATTCTAACCACATGTTTTCCATTCACACAATTCTTCTTCCTTGATTTTGTTTATTTAGCCCCGCAAATAGCATAGATGCTGTTGAACTCTAATTAGGGCGGCCAAAGGTATTTGATGATCTATATAAACTCAAATTATAAAAAAAAAAATTAATTAAAAAAATTAATTTTTGATAAAATATAATTAAAAAACTTAATTTTAATACAAAAATAATTGATTATTTTTTTAAAAAAAATTTCAAAGTCATCATTCTCGTCATATTTTTTTAGGGTTTATTGTTTCTCCATTAACATACACGAAATAAAATTATCTCCATCAAATCAGAATTATGTCGTCTTGATGGTTAGTGAAATTAACGATATAATAAACAAATAAAATTCCTAAGATACCTTTTATTAATTCTCTTAATTCAAAACGACGTAATTTTGGGATTGATAGAGATATCTTTATTGGGTTTTATTGATCTCATGTTAAAGAAGATAAGTTGTCTCATATCATAGAGACAAATTTATAGAGTACTCCACCATCTGAAAAATAAAAAAAAAGGTGACACAGTTATCGAAGGGTATATAAGAGAGAAAGTTATCACATGTAGTATAAGAGTAATTTTTCCCATCTTTATTTTATGTTGATGGAGAAACAATAAATCTTTCTTTTTATAAACGATAAATCTATTACAAAATATAGGTTATATTTCATTTTGAGCATAATTTCTTTATGAATTTTTTTTATAATATAGAATAAAAAACTGTGAAATTTCATTAAAAATGTTAATGAAAAACTCTTTTTAAATAGTTGATGAAACATATGTCGTCTGAATGTTACTTTTTTTTTTTTGGAAACTGATCCTAATTATCTCTTTGAGGCTAATCAAAACCCCGGTATCTCCACGTGTTATAGGACTAATCCAGAGTTCGGGTGCGAGTCAAAGGATTACGGTACTTATGCTCCTTCCCAGATGGTGTTGGTGGGATTCGAACCGAGGTACTCTCCCACCGCTCAATCCCCATGCTACCAACTGAGCCACCACACTTGGGTGTCGTCTGAATGTTATTGAAATTGCTTCTAAAATTATTTTGTTTTTTAAGAATTAAATATGAAGCCCGCAAACAAGACATTGTTTTTTTTTAGGGAAATGATATTGTAACAACCAAGTTGTATTACTATCAAGTGACTACCAATCAATCTCACCGTTAGATCGATTATGTGGATCCAACGGTTATATTTATTTCCATCTTTGTATGGTCATGATTTCTCAAATTTAATACTTTATATTTATTTTCACCTTTGTATGGTTATGATTTCCATTTAATGCTTTCACTTTAAATATGGGGAATCATGACCATACAAAGATGAAAATAAATATAACCGTTGGATCAACATAATCGATCTAACGGTGAGATTGATTGGTAGTCACTTGGTAGTAACACAACTTGGTTGTCACAATATTCTTCCCCTTTTTTTAAGAGTAAATACTTTTTTGGTCCAGCAAATTTCACGAAACCCGCTTTAGTCCCTAGCAAATAAAAAGACTATTTGTGGTCCCTAAGAAATTCAAAATGAACTCATTTAGTTGAAATCGTGGTCCCTCACAATTTTAAAAAAGACCCATATTAATCTCTCAAAAGGACTAAAATGGGTCCACTTTGAATTTTCCAGGGACCATGAATAGGCTTTTTATTTGCTAGGGACTAAAGCGGGTATCGTAAAATTTGCTGAGGACCGAAAATGATATTTACTCTTTTTTTTTAATTTTTTTAAAGGACGTATTTGCCGATCATTCTGAACAACAGTTTTTATGATATAAAAATTTAAATTGACAGAACATATTTAGAGCTATTGATTTTGATTGTTTTAAAAAATTGTTTTTGAAGTTGTCATTTTCAAAACCATCAAATTTAAAATTGATTTCATTATTTTCGTAGTGGTATTTTGTGATTATGAATACAATTGATTAATGATACGCTCATAAATAAATTAAATTTATTTTCAAATTTAGACTAGTGACAGCATAAAAGAGGAGACATGATTGAGGAAACTCACGACGAAATTTAAAAAAAAAAATTAATCCAATTTTATCTCTTATTTTCTTATTTTAAAAATGGTTTTCAATTTTTGTACAACACAATTGTGAATGAAAAAAACAGAAAAAATCCAAAAAATACTATTTTTTTAAAACACTACTTTATAAGAAGCAGTTTATAGCAAGGTAGTTAAAAACAAGATTTTACGTAAAATCAAAATAAGGATAAAAAATAGTAAAACATAAAATTATAACGTAAAAAATTGTATGAACGTAAAAGCGTTTGGAATATTGGTAAAAACATTTAAATGAAAAAAAAATCGTAAAAACATAAGGCTAAATCGAAATTTTAACTACTATGATTAATAGCTGTCTAATTTCAAGTTCACGAATAGAGAAGGCTATTTGATGTTAAACAAAAGATAAATTTCAAAGATGATGATAAATAGTAAAGAAATAAAATGAGAGTAAAAAAATATGAAAAATAATAAGTAATAGTTGATAAATAAGAGAGAGAGAGGAGGAGGAGGGGGGAAGAGATAATAAAATATATTAATTAAGAAACGATAAAGTATAATTATACATCAGACCATAAATTAGGCTTTATCATTAAAATTTTATATTTTTTATAGAGAAAAACATTTTTCATAAAATATAAATTAATACATAATGAATATAAAATAATAAAATTATGAGCCCTAAAACAAATTAGAACCAAGGACAAGGAATTTATTAGCCTTACCTTTGAACCAGCGTGACTCTAATTCAGAAAATTACTTTATATTAACGGACATTTTATTCAACATTAAGCATGTGCAAAGTTCTCTTGGCCATATTAAATAAAGGGCAATGTCTCTTTGTAATAAGAGAGACTTCTTATCTCCAGCTAAGACAAAAAAATCATGAGACCCACCAGAGTTAAGAAAAAAAATGACACAAATTTTTGTGGCTCTATCACTACAAAAAAAAGATTGTTTAGCCACATTTAAAAACGTGGCTAAGTTTAACAAAAAACGTGGCTAAACCAAACTACCACACTTTTGCCAAATGTGGCTAATCTTGGCGTGGCATTTATTTGGCCACATTTCTTTCCTCACTTTGCTACTGCCGTCATGAGTGTGGTAGCATTATATTTGCCACGGTTACTTTTATATTAGCCACATTATAAATGTGGCTAATTTTTAGGGAGAAAATAAAAAAAATAATACATTTTTATTTTTTTATAATATGCCTCTATCCAAATTCTAATTTTTTTTTGGCTGTCATTTAAAAAAACAATAAAACAATTGAAAGCACTTAATACAGAGCATGGTTTAGTTTCTATCCTGAAACTATCTAGCTTATAAGGAAATAAAATAAAGCCCTGTGAGAAAAAATTAGCATCAACTCGGTAAATTCAGCAACACGTCAAATCTTCTTTATGGTTTTATAATAGCGTTGCATTGTCAACATTTCCATTGTATAGAACTCACCCAAAACATATACAAAAGTAATGGATCACTTGGACACTCAAAATCTATGATTCATGTAAAATAAATAAACAATAGCCATTAAATTTAGAATAAATTATAAAAAACAGAAAACTTATATACTTATTTCCAAGTTGTTGGTGTAATTTGATGATTAATTCAACTTCCTCTTGGGTGTAGTTCCCATGATTTAGATCTGGCTTCAAGTAATTCAACTAACGAAGTCTGCAACTTTTCCCACACCTTGTTAAACCTGCAACAAAATAGAACCGAAGACTCATCCACACGTATATATAACAGTGTTAGTTACTTATTAACTACACTTCAAATAATCAATCCCAGATTTTAGATTTCTTATTCTTTATTAACAAAGCTGAAACTATTGGTTTATGGTACATCCAGTTTCTTCCTTTTTCTCTTCAGTTTAAAACTGGAGATGCTCAGCTCTCAACAAAATGAGAAATACATTTGGGTATTGTGGATAATCTACTTCAGATTGAAGTTGCAGAAATCAGTCAGGGTGTAGGGGTTTTAAAGAGTAAACCTATTCTTTAATCTTCTTCTGTACTATTTTTTTACTCAACATAGATAGGGTTGGCAAGGACATTGTTCTTCTAAGACTTGCAAGTGATTATATACTTGCAGGATCTGTGATATAATGTTGAGAATAATTTACATGGCCCAAAACTATGATCTTTCAAGTTCTCAACAGCCTAAGGACAGCTCTTCTTATCTCTGACTATTATTCAAGGCAACATATATATTAATGCAAAGTTTGCGGTTAATTGCAGGGTATGTTAAAGAATGGGAGTCTAAGGAAAATGGCACCTTTTTCTTGCTTCTGCCCTTGTTCATGAAAATGGTACCATAAATCATTGCCCATTATTCCCATAATATGGTTCCTCTTTCCTGAAGAGCATGGACTTTGTTCGTGAAGGGCCATTGCGCAACCGAACCCTTCGTGAAGCCTACACATACATAAAGGGACCATCAACATAATAAGGTAGAAGAAATTGATTGTATGATGGAAAAAAAGAGATATTAAAAAAAAAGCTTCACAAATTGGCATCTACTAACCTACATGAATATCTATCTACGCATCTTTGATTAGGAGCATACCCAGATCAACAAAATTGGTAAGAACTTGACAATGATTTTTTTCCACAAATTGCAAACTTATCTCTTACACATACACTACTTTATATTAGACATTCTTAACTTGAATCTGTAAAGTAGCATATGGTGTCATCAAATTAAATTTTAAAATTCAAATAGATAGTTAAGCATGCCGATTTTGACCAATGTATATAATAACTCACATCAAATTGGTATTTCTTTGTGGCTGCTTCAGCTGGGAAAGAGATTAAGTCAAAAAATCAAAAGAATCTGATTAAACAAGATGGGTGACTAGGGAAGTCTAAGCCAGCCATTCTACTTTTTGTAAACTTCTTGTATTCAGTAACTTGGATCCTGTATGGATATCATGGAGGTGAAGCAACAATGTAGTAATATTCATACAAATTGTACAATGGTAAGTTGGACTAATAAGTTTATTAAATAATAACCTGCTTTATATCCATCTCGGTAATTCTTCCATCCATGTTTCTGTTACACCTAAAGTAAAGCAAAGCAAAAATTACAAACAGATTTCAAAATTGTGAAGAGAAGAGTCTAGAAGAGGACTTTTACATGTCAAAGAAGATTCGCATTCTTGAGTTAATGGAATCATCTTTCATCCGAAACCAAAATGTATGCAATTCAGTTTTGGTGATATTGAATTTCCAATCCTCGTTTCCTCTTAGTGCCCTTAGCAATTCGTTGGCAAACTTTGATGATGACAACATCCCTATACAAAACGACAAATTTGTAAGTGAATAAATAAGGTAGTGGTTGGAAACATCATGTGGTTGAAAAATCCTGAATAATTTAATCAATAGAAACAAGAAAGAGTGTGGAGCTCATTGTCATAAGTTGGAACTAGGGTTTCACCATAATTTTCACGGATTGTTAAAGGGACTATGTCACTTTAGATCTCACCTATCTTTCATGGACTAAATGGATGTGAGCCCAATCTTTTCGGAACCAGAATGGATTATTATGCCTTTTTTTTCTTTAAAAAAATAGGGATATCAGCAGATTGTATGCACTAGTTCGTGAAAGTCGCATTATTCTTTGATGTTAGTACCCTAACTGAAGGATATTGAACTGCAGAATTGACTAGGGAAGAGATTCAAAATTTCCTAGTAAATCATTGTTATATTAATTACAAGTTATGCATAAATAGGAATGTGCTCTTTGAAATTCGAATCTTATCTGTAACTTATGACTTCATATTAAAGAAAAAGACTGAGGCAACTTTTGAATGTGCTCTTTGAACATATCCAGACTGAGGCAAGTGAGATATTCACAGTAAAAAAACCAATAATCTAATAAGAGCATTGAATGCAGAGGGAATCATGCAAGGTCCAATGCGTAAAAAAATAAAAAAACAAAAAAAAGAAG